ATGTGCGGCGACAACCAGACGTCATTTGGTGGAGCAACTTGTTTAGTATTCCGGGTTGTTTAGCTGCCGATCGATTGGTTCTCACAACTGAAGTGGTCCTTGTTGTCCGCCCTGACGGAGCCGTCGTAGGTTCACAATGTGCCTTTTTACAGTACGTAGTCAGTCGTTGACGGCAGTTCTGTGACTGACGGAGGCGGAAGTCAGAGAGCAAGTGTCGTTGAGTGAAACTTGATTTTTTTTTTGCCTTATATAGAGCGGCGATAACCGGGCAGGGCAAAATAGAGAGGGCCGAGAAGAGTCAAAAAGAGTCAATCATAGGGGCTCTGGGGGTTTGTGTCCATCCTGCTTGGCTTTTAGATGATGTTTTAAACGGGGTCGTCGGCGGTCACAAGGGTGAAAGAGATCAGAGACCGGATAGAGAGAGAGAGAGATCGACGGTGTAGATCCACACGTGTGTAGGAGATCTCTTATTCCATTTTTTCCCTCTTTTCAGTTTTGGATTGGCATTTCAAACCCGAAAAAAGAGTGTGGTGACGGGCAGATGGAGAAATCGATCGCTGAGATGCGAATCGGGAGAAAATCCCATGTTTGAAATGCTTTTGGGCATTACCCATTGTTTGGGACGGGAGGTAGGGAGGGGAGGGGAGTGTCAATTTGGAGGGTTAAATCCAGCCAGTAAGAAGGGGTTCTAAATAAGGACTAGCCTCCCAGCCACCCACAATCTGGGTACAGACCTCCTTAATACTCTGGGAGCCCCCAACTCTAGTTCTACAAGACTCTTCTACACATATATATCAATATAGAGATTTACCCACCTTTTAATTTAACTATATATTCTAATAATTAACAATCTAACTCGCAATATTTACATTTATGCCAATATCTATAGAAGTACGAGTATCTACGTACTAATACCTCTCGAACCACCCTATAACGACCAAATTAAATAACTATATCCCTATTTAAGAAATCTTCCCTAAAGACTAACTATCCCTACCTCGATAGGCCTTCGAAATTTCGTAATTAGAGCGAGGAGCTACTTGCCTACATTAAAAGCCTCGACCTTACTAACTTCATATTAAAGTTGGAGGCTAATTTATTAGAATACTACTAAACAAGTAATTATAACCACCTCTATAACCAAGGCAAAATTCATTACGCTTACTAATATAACTAAAGAAGCTCTTTTTATAATAAAATTTATTATTAGTCTTATAGTAAGGCTAATTAATCCTATCCCCACCCTAGAATATAATAATTAATAAATTATTAGAACCTTAACTATAGAAGCTACGAAGCTAGTAATAAAATTTAAATACGTAAATATCTATAAATATTAAGTAAAGTAAGAAGTATTTACTAAAAGGATAAAAATCAAGTATTTAGAGACGGCCAAAATACTTATAGACGGTTTAACGAAAGTACTAGACCTCTAGAGGCATATAGCGTTTAAGAAGCTAGTAGGGATAGAATTAATAAAGGATAGGGAATTGAAAAGATAGGAGAATATAATAGTATATATCGAAATAAATAAGATTAATAAGGAGATAAATCTTAGGGTAGTCACATAATACTATAAATAGCTTTATTTCTAAATAGTATTGGGCAGTCTTATCTCTATAAGACTTCAACTGGGGAGGTGTATCAATTTGGAGGGTTAAATCCAGCCAGTAAGAAGGGGGTTCTGAATGAGGACTAGCCTCCCAACCACCCAGAATCTGGGTGCAGACCTCCTTAATACTCTAGGAGCCCCCAACTCTGGTTCCACAGGACTCTTCTATACATACACATTAATACAGAGATTTACCCACCTTTTGATTCAACCGTGCATTCTGACAGGGAGCACTGGAGGAGATCATCGGGGGTGATTTCGGAGAGGCTGAGTACATAGGTAGGTACCATCCTACAAGAACTTGCTCGTCAAGGCTCCCGTCCTCACCTAGGTACTGGCCTGCTGCGAACCTACCCGTTAAGAAGAACCGACGGACAAGCGGATCGTTTGAATTCCTCTTGCTGAATTGTATATCCTGTGAGTCGTGCGGAGCTTCGCGTTTTAGGTGGGAATTAGACTCCCGTCGTCTCGACTTTGGACGTCGGATGGCATTGAATGCTTGGCATCGCGGCCCGCGGATTCCGTCTCCGCCCGTTGTTTCGAGACTGCAACCTACTCGGACCTTCAACAACATGCGTAGAGTTTTGTCGGATTTATAAGCCGGAGGAAAATACACAGGTGGCGGATTTAGGAAAAGGGAGGTAGATGCAAAAGGAGCGACATGCATTGTGGAATCGAGGGTCTTTCTTGCTGACTGAGACAAGCTCTCACTTTGCGTGCACACCGCACACTAGCCCAAAGTGTATCTCGTCACACAAAATTGATGAAGCTGCTGTTTATTCCAGAGCCACGCTGTTATTTCCGTTTCGATTCGGATGGCGTTGAATATACTTCAGACAATCGGTTTTCATTCGAACGGATGTGTAAGCAGTCGGAGATGTTAGTTTGGCGGCAGACGTTGGTTCTCCAGATTCCATAGTGCGAAGATGCTGTGAAAACTGAAAAGGAAGCAATATGGACGAAAAAGAGGATATTTTCGGTATATGTAAGCAGACCACAAGGCGATCGCGGTTTCCATGCTAGGGTTCTGGGGATCGGTTCGTTGCGACGGTGGGGGAGGGGTCCAACTTCTCGTGGTTCTGTTTGTTGCAAGTCTGAGAGTGGACAGAGAAGCCAAAAAGACGGGACCCTTCCGGTCGTTACGAAAGTCACCTAACCTCATGAGTAGACCCTTCAAAAACCACAACCCACGCCTCTTTGAGAGGCCTCACGTTCTCGACTTTTTCGTGCATACACGCTCCCGTCCGTTTTCAGGATGCGACTAGTCAGTCCCCCGAAAACGTTCGGGGTGGCGGCGCAGTTGCTGGAAAATTCCAGCTGGTTGGCTCGCTGGCGCTTCCTCGCCAGGCAGGGCAATGCCAGGGTACAGTAGCAAGAAGCAACGAGGAAGAAAGCTTGGCCGACAAAAGAGCAAGGGAGCATCATTGCTGTGGAGTCAACTCGTGGTCAAAATCCGATAATCCGGGTGTGTCGTGAACATGGGCAAGGACATGGAGCCAGGGTCCAAAGGAAGGGGAAGATGGGCTTCATGTTGTTCTTCAATTCTTGTATGTGCCTTTCGGTGTTTGGGTGAGGATGCCGCCGCCGTTGCCGTTATCATGTCGGAATATGGAAGAGACGGTGCTGTTTCGGGGAGTAAGACGATTGGTATAACGACTGACGTCGGCTTCGCGGTGACTTCGCCGGCTATGCCAGGTCTTTAGGTAAGGTGTAGCATGTGGCACGTCCTGACATACATAGTACATACATATGTACCCCGAAGGTTTGGGACTTGGGATCTGTCGCCTGCATATGATCCTGACCCAACAAATTGGCGACGACGTGGACGGGGCGCGCCGGACCGGCGAAGAGTCCGGGACCCCGAAATGACGGGCCGGGGTCATGGGCGACGGTTGAAAACAGGGCAGGGCAACACACATTGCAATGCCCTCATTTTGGGACCAAAAAGTGCTGGAGAATCGCTGGAGACGGCTGGAGATGGGGCATGGGGTGGATTACCTCTAGGTAAATATTGGACACCCCCCTCGAGGACCAGACCCGGGAAGTGGTGCGGGATTGGCAGGCCCTGTGATGCTCTCGACCGTGAGTGGCTGCCAAGACTTCTCAAAAAAGAGGGGCGCGCAATATGGGCCGCCAAGAGGGGAAAGTGCAAAGGGGCCCCGCCCTATTCTCTCTCAAGTGTGGCTAATCCGGAAGCGTTCTCAAAGTGTGGATTCTTGTGAATGAAGCTGCAGCGAATCTGCGGCCTATTCTAGGACCAACGGCCGGCTGCAGTTCCTCACTCATGGAGGAGTTCAAAGGCACTTCAGGTTGAGGTGAGCAGAAGATCTCCAAAGCGGATTCGTCTCCAGTTCCAGTTCCTGTCCTTGTGAGAGAGCAAGACGTGGATGCGGCCACCCGCCCATTGCATCACACAATTCAATCATAGTCCAGCCTGCGTCGAATTGTTTTCCCAAAAACATCGTCCTTGTGATACCCGACCCATTCCTTGGGCAACCTCATACCCTCTTTTTGACTCGACATACGCGCGCTCCCCTCCAGCTAGGGCAGTCAACCAAGCAGTCCAGTCCCGGGCCATACCATACCAACTGAGCTCTCTCTGTGGTCATCTGTCGCCTCTCACCTCTCACAGCCCTCGGCGACCGTCCCGTCTCTTGACCACCAATCAGTTTGACAGGACTCGGTCCTCATCGTCTTTAGGAAATTAGGGCAGAGCCGGATTCCGATTCCTCCATCCCGTCTTCCACTTTCCCATCCCGTATGTTCGACTCTCTCTTTCTCCACGTTCCATTGTGAAGCTGCCAGCCGAGAACCACCACATCAGCCTCCGAGTCTATTACATTGCCCCCTCCTCGTTGCGCTCCCCCTTCCACTTATCGGTGCAGTATAAGTCTCCATTTATCTATTCCCCCTCCTACGCTCGCTCAGGGTCCTCCCACACTACGTCCGCAGCACGTTTCCGGCTCGCACGCTGCCTCCACGTGCGTCCCCTCGTCGCAAAGAAGCTGAGGTGATCCCCTCGGTCGCTCAAGTGGGCTTCCATCGTTGGGTCCAAGTACACCAAGGCAAGGCCACGGGCGAGCGCACTGTACGTGTAACACTCGATCGCCCGTCTCTGCTCCGTCTAGCCAAATCACCCATGCCGGTTTCCTTCACATTCCCAGTCACTGCTTCGTCCTTGGTTGTTTACCCCGAGTCACACTTCACTTCCCCTGCCAAGGCCTTTCCTTTACCTTCATATCACAGCTAACCGCTGCCTGGCCACCTAGATAACAAATATACTCCTCGCACTGGCGCTGCCTTGAACACGGACACGGATACATTATTCTTTCCGACAGCCAAACAAACCCCAAACCCCATTCTCGGGTCCGCCGCCACACTACATCGCACGTTCCGTCCCACCTCCCGTTCCGTCTGCGTCTCCACGTCTGAGCTTCCTTCCCCGCCTGCTTTTGAATGACAGCTTCATACCGACAAGCAGGTACCAGTATCAGACGGCTTTGATCGATGCAGCAACGACACCCACAGTTCCTTAATGTGATTCTCCGACCCGGCCCTTCCTGGCGCACCACTTTCTAGCATACCTACCCTACGACCAAATCTTAAAGAGAGCTTCATACCTAGGAGATTATTTCATTTGTCAACCCAGAACGAATCGCTTTGGGCGACCAATGTAGCCGCCATGAACAACTACTACGGTTCTCCGCTGTCTCCTGAGGAGCTTCAGCATCAAATGGCTGCACAACACCAGCAGCAGCAGCAACATCAGCAGCAACAGCAGCATCAGCAGCAGCATCAGCAGCAACAAAATACTAATCAACATCGCAACGCCGGCATGATGAATACGCCTACAACTTCGGGTCAAGGAAACAACACCATTCACGCTTCAGATGTGACAATGTCGGGAGGAAGCGAGTCTCTTGACGAAATTTTCCAGCAGAATCTCGACGAAATGCATCGCAGACGGAGTGTCCCTCAGCCCTATGGGGGCCAGACGGATAGGAGATTGTCCATGCTTGATTACGCGAACCCCAACGATGGTTTCTCGGACTACCAGCTCGATAATATGACAGGAAACTACGGCGACATGACTGGCGCAATGGGCATGCCGGGACACTCGGGCCCGTATGCAGGGCAGAACATCATGGCCATGTCGGACCACACCGGTGGATACTCGCACATGTCGTCCAATGTCATGGGTAACATGATGACATACCCCAACCTCAACATGTACCACTCTCCCCCGATCGAGACCCCCTATTCTTCGACCGGGCTGGACACCATAAACACCGACTTCTCTATGGACATGAATCTGGAAAGTGGCCCAGTCAGCACGGCAAGCGTTCATCCCACCCCGGGGCTCAACAAACAGGACGACAAGATGATGACCGTAGAGCAGGGTTTTGGTGGAGGTGACGATGCCAACACCCCTCACCAGGCCCAGCAAAACATGGGCGGTTTGACTCCGGCCATGACCCCCGCCATGACCCCTGCAATGACTCCGGGTATTAGCAACTTCGCACAAGGCATGGCTACACCTGTCTCACAGGATGCGGCAAGCACGCCGGCGACGACATTCCAGTCCCCGCCGTTATCCGCAACAACACGACCAATACAAATTGGGCCGCCGCCTCCTCCGAGCGTTAACAATGCCCCTACCCCAACGCCATCGACGCCGTCAGGTGGAGCAGCGTCTCAAGCAAAGAGCATATACTCCAAAAGCGGTTTCGACATGCTGAGGGCGCTGTGGTATGTGGCCTCCAGGAAGGACCCAAAGCTCAAGCTCGGCGCCGTGGACATGTCTTGTGCGTTTGTCGTCTGTGATGTAACGCTCAACGACTGCCCCATCATTTACGTGTCAGATAACTTCCAGAATCTCACCGGCTATAGTCGCCACGAGATTGTCGGGCGAAACTGCCGCTTCTTGCAGGCCCCCGACGGCAATGTGGAGGCCGGCACCAAACGCGAGTTTGTCGAAAACAATGCCGTATATACGCTCAAGAAGACAATCGCGGCAGGCCAGGAAATTCAGCAGAGTCTGATCAACTATCGGAAGGGCGGCAAGCCTTTCCTAAACCTGTTGACCATGATCCCCATTCCCTGGGATACCGAAGAGATTCGTTATTTTATTGGATTTCAGATCGACCTTGTGGAATGCCCTGATGCCATAATCGGCCAGGAAGGAAATGGGCCAATGCAGGTCAACTATACGCACAGCGATATCGGGCAATATATTTGGACGCCACCTACCCAGAAGCAACTGGAGCCTGCTGACGGCCAGACTCTGGGCGTTGATGATGTATCGACGCTTTTGCAGCAATGCAATTCGAAGGGTGTTGCATCCGACTGGCACAAGCAATCCTGGGACAAGATGCTCTTGGAGAACGCTGACGATGTAGTCCACGTGTTGTCGCTCAAGGGTCTCTTTTTATACCTATCTCCGGCCTGCAAGAAGGTGTTGGAGTACGATGCCAGTGACCTTGTTGGGAGCTCGCTATCCTCGATTTGCCACCCATCAGACATAGTGCCGGTGACGAGGGAACTGAAAGAGGCTCAGCAACATACTCCTGTCAACATTGTCTTCAGAATTCGGAGAAAGAACAGCGGTTATACCTGGTTTGAAAGCCACGGAACACTGTTCAACGAACAGGGCAAGGGCCGGAAGTGTATCATTCTTGTGGGGAGGAAACGCCCCGTTTTCGCTCTGCGCAGAAAGGATCTCGAACTCAACGGCGGTATCGGTGACAGCGAAATCTGGACCAAGGTCTCGACATCGGGCATGTTCTTGTTCGTTTCATCGAATGTCCGGTCGCTCCTCGATTTGCTCCCGGAGAATCTCCAAGGTACCAGCATGCAGGATCTCATGCGCAAGGAGTCCAGAGCCGAGTTTGGGAGGGCGATAGAGAAAGCCAGAAAGGGCAAGATTGTGAGCTGCAAGCATGAGGTGCAAAACAAGCGTGGCCAGGTGCTCCAGGCCTATACGACGTTTTACCCTGGAGACGGTGGTGAGGGTCAGAGGCCAACGTTCTTGTTGGCGCAAACCAAGTTGTTGAAGGCGTCATCAAGGGCACTGGCTCCCGCGACCGTAACGACTAAGAGTATGTCTCCGGGCGGTGTTTCTTTGTCGGCAATGCAAGGTGTCCAGACCGACAGTGATAGCAACACTCTAATGGGTGGTATGAATTCGAAATCCGGAAGCAGCGATAGCACGGGAGCCATGGTCTCAGCGCGTAGCAGCGCAGCACCCGGTCAGGATACAGCTCTGGACGCCGATAACATCTTTGACGAGCTCAAGACAACACGCTGCACCAGCTGGCAGTACGAGCTGAGGCAAATGGAGAAGGTGAATCGCATGTTGGCCGAAGAGCTGGCACAGCTTTTGTCTAATAAGAAGAAGCGAAAAAGAAGAAAGGGAGGAGGCAACATGGTGAGGGATTGTGCAAATTGTCATACCAGGAATACGCCTGAGTGGCGTCGTGGGCCAAGCGGGAACCGAGATTTATGCAACAGTTGCGGATTGAGATGGGCAAAACAGGTAAGCTTCGATCTTTTCTCCTTGTATGCCCCCCACGTTACTGACATATGGAAAATGGATAGACTGGGCGCGTATCGCCGCGTACCTCATCCCGAGGTGGGAACGGTGATTCGGTGAGCAAGAAGAGCAATTCACCTAGTCACTCGTCACCCCTTCATCGAGAAGTCAGCAAGGATTCGCAGTCTACCACCACTACCAAGAACGAACCCTCCCTCCGAGGTGGAAGTAGTACCACTCCACCCGGTACGGTCACAACGGACAGCGGGCCAGCAGTCGCATCGAGCGCTAGTGGAACTGGTAGTACCACTATAAGTACCTCGGCCAACTCTGCTGCATCAACCGTAAGCGCCCTGGGCCCTCCTGCGACAGGTCCCAGTGGCGGCTCACCGACCCACCATCTACCGCCTCATCTTCAGGGAACACACCTCAACGCCCAGGCCATGCAGCGTATACAGCAGCATCAGCAGCTTCAGCAGCAGCAGCAGCAACATCAGCAACATCAGTTTAACCCTCCGCAAAGCCAGCCACTGCTCGAAGGCGGAAGCGGTTTCCGTGGAAGCGGAATGGAGATGACCTCAATCAGAGAAGAGATGGGCGAACATCAACAGGGCTTAAGTGTGTAGGAACCACTCGACCCGTTGACTACATCGTCGAACTCTTATGACTCATCATTGTCAAACCTGTCTTCACCTGCCGTGGAAGCCGGTGGCCATACTGACCCACAGCAACCTCAACCGCAAGGTCAAGGCCGCAGTCAGACTCAAGGGCAGGGGCAAGGACAACACCATAGTACGAGTCCACCCTCCCAGAGGCAACGGTTACACAGGGAGCTTCGTGAGTTCCATGAGTTCCATGAACTGCGGGAATGGCAGCAACAACACCAGCAGCAGCAGCATTACGCCTCGCAACAACGGCAATATCATGTAGAGATGCAAAGGAGGCTGCAACAGCGGCAGCAAATGCAAAAAACGCAGCCGCAGCCGCAGCAAGAGCAGCTGTAAGAGTAACAACGCATATCAACATTGACGAAAGGACCAAAAGACGATATTGTATCGCACCAATAATCTCGACGGCCTATGTCATGATCACTGTCTCGATTCGCGGCTACTATACCTACACTACTAGCGCTACGGCAAGAAACAAAAAGAAAGAGTTTGGAATATAAGGGAAAGACGAGCAACAGACATTCCCAGACAGAGATGATGGAGAACATGTTTGAGGCCACACGGGTCAGGGAGAAAAATGAGCATTCTTATTAGAGATTTGCAGTATGGATATTTTAAACATGGGAAGGGAAAAGGGCAAAGCAAAGGGTTGGTGAATGGCATGGACAGGCAGGTTGGTTGGTTTAAGTAGGAATGGTCGGTTGGCTGGCTGGTTGGTTTGTTGGTTGGTTTAGTTGGTTTGATAGTTGACAAGGAGCAGGAGCAGTTGTGTTTGTTCCTTTTTCTTGGATGTGCTTTTATAGGTATACATATATCATTGTTGGTTTTGGTTAGGTCGTTTGTGTGTTTGTGTGTTGCATTTTATGCCTACTTGCGCTTCGTGGTCCGCTTCTGTTCTACATGTAAGTATGGTGTCATGTTTATGTTTGGTTGGTTTTGCATTGGCGGCAGACGTTGCAGATCGATCATGTTGAATCGAGTGAGTATGGCGATGTATGGGAGGGTAGAAAAGCAGTCATGAAAATCCCGTCTTCGTCTTCTTCCTCTTCATTAATAAATCCCCAGTTAGATAAAACCAATCAAGCACACCAGCTCTCGCGAAGCCAGAACCAGGAGACTCAGTCACTAACTCGATCCTTACCTATCATGCTCATTTTCTAGGTGATATGGTACGACGTCCATGACTTCCATTTCCTAGACTACTTCAACTTGCACTCAGCCGGCTGCTTCCTTGATCATCTAATACCCCCCGCTTTGCGGTACGTAGGTATCCAAACACTGCTCTGCCTCTGCCTTTGCCTCTGCCTCGACCTCGACCTCGACCTTTATCCACCTCTCCCCGGTTTTTAGACCACCTCAACTTAGTAACCACCACGTATTAAAGGGAAATCGAAACAGGGTATCTATCTATCTATCTCATGCATACCCAGGTTCCCTGATAACGCCCCCTTTTCTTTTCTCCCCAACCAACATTTAATTACAGGTTACAAAACAGTACTGGTACAGGTATGTACACCCCCTTCCCACGTTTGTGTGGGCTGAGGGGGGTTTAAGTTGCTAGGTAGATCTTGCTCCGCCTTATCTGAAGCAGTCGCAACAGGATGCCAAACGGTCAAGTGAGCACGCCCGCCCGCCAACTAATCGACTCCCATGCTCTGATTCCAGTCGAACTTGGCATCGTTTTCTGGTATTCCATTCCCAGCACCGTCAAGCCTTAACCCATCGTCGTCCTTGGGAGCACCGATTCGTCGAGCTGTGGGGGGCTCGTGAGGGCCATGTGTGGAATTCGAAGTGCTGTCGTTGTCATCATCGTCCTCGTCCGACGACTCTGGAAAACTCCCCGCCATCTTCAAGCTCATTCCTCTTTCCCTTCCTCGCATATGCGGGGGCAAATGGTCATCGTCATTGCCCACATGAGAGACACTCCACCTTCTCCCCGATGAGAACAACGGCGCTGCTGCTGGTGTTGGTTTCCGTTGGTGGAAACCTGGACTGTCCTCTGTCTCGTCCGAGAGATCCCACTGCACAGGTATCCTCTCGCCTCCCTCGCCAGATCCCAAGACCGCGCCGCTCTTTTGGCCGGCAGTGATGCGCGCCGCAACGGTGAGCATGAGGCTCATCAAGTGCGTGGGAGGCGCCATCAGGATTTCGAACGACTTGTTGATAACCGTCATGGGTAGCTTGCGCACTACTTCGAGCTTGCTGGACGATATGGAAGGCGCCCTTCGGCGAGGCGCAAAGAGATCTGCTACACGTGGTAGGGGAGAGAGCGCTCTCCTGCTGGGGGATATGCTGCTGCTTGTTGTTGCGCGGCCGCGGATAAGTGAGCGACGACTGGTGATTGAGGGAGATCGAGAACGCGAAGTCGGTGATGCGTTGGGCGGAGTGACCAGTATTAGTCCTGCTGTTGTAGGACTACACGGAGAGTCGATCTCATGGGTAGAAGAGGGAGCTGTGCCGTCAAAGGTCGAGCTGGAGGTGGCGCTTCGGTCAACTGCTATCGGACTGGTACTCGATGTCTGAGGCATGTTAGAACGATCTGCCCTATCTGATGTAAGGATCGAAAAGTCTTCCTTTGGTTCGGTATTCTTCCCATGCAGACAGGAAGAGCCTGAAGGAGACGTCGGCTTGGACAAGGGTGGAGAAGGGGGAAGAATATGAGAGTTGCATGACCGTACACTGTGGAAAGAGTCGCGGGAGGTTACCGAAGACAATGATCCGGATATTTCTGGCGCATGGCCGTCCAGTTGATGTATCGATGGCTCAGTAGAGTGCGGTACAGTGACCAACGTTAGCTGTGGGGGTGCGGCAACAGAATGACTAGTTTGCTGGCCGCTTGGTATAAGAGGGGTCCTTGTGAAAGAGGAAGTCCGCGAGAAAGACTCTGGCTGCTGTGGTTCCTCGTCCGGCTGACTTGAGAGTGTAATGTCGGGTATCGAAACAGCGTTATGCTCCTGTATTCTGAACAAATCATCGCTGGTGGGAAAGGCTGACTGGCTCGTGGTACCAGTTGCCCTTCTCTTGCGCACTTTGATAGTGTCATCTTTGGGCGGACCCCGGTGTACACGGGCTATCTGGGCGGGTATCGTGATGGCGCTGACCGGGGTTGGAATGATGGATTCACTAGATCTCCTAGCAGGAGTCCATGGCCTCTTAATAGCCGGCGTCTGCGGGCGTTCGGGTAGCTCGACGGTAAAGGATCGTTGGAAAGGGCATTCGGTCTTTTCGAATTGGAGGATTTGGTCAAAAACCTCACGCAAAAGCTGCGCGCGTCGTATATCCTCCGGGTCGTCGACAGGCACCTCGATGCGCCAGTACTGGGGCCTCCGAATTTGTAGGATGAACTTGCTTGAATGCTCGTCAACACACCAAGCCTGGCTTTTTGGGAATATCGGTTGGAGGGCGGAACCGCAGTTGAGGAAGGTTATTGAACCAGGAGCACGATAGATTCTGAAATGTCCTGTAAATAGGCTGTTGTTAGACTGCCGTAACCAGTGAGGATTCGCCCGGGAGGCTTATGCTCCCGTTTGGAGACATACCGACTGCAATAGTCCTCTCCAGGTGGGAAGACCACGGCAGAGAGCCCGGCTCGACGCCGGTAGGAGTATCAGGAGGAGTGGGACCGAGGGTCGGGGGCCGGCTCCCAGCAGTAAAGGATGTGATCTTGACCGAAGGGTGGTCGTAGAGCGTATCAACCAAGGCATTACTTGTCTCTCCTGCAGACGTAGACGGTCTTTGGATCTGAGAGCCTATAGGTGCCGTAAAGTTGCGGCGCGGAACCGTATCGGCAAAGGGATTCGAGAACTCCATTGTTCGCAACTTTATGATTTCGCGGAAAGCATCGTAGCGCGGAGGAGAGATCGCTAAGCTCAGCGCATGGGGAGGCCGCGGTCGGAGGGTAATTGGACGAGATTATGCGGTACTGGTCGTCGGCGCGTTCGTGGTGTTTCCGATTAGGGCGAGTCGCTGAGGCCGTCTCGATGTCTGGTCGGCCGACGTCACAATGCTACGCTGGGTCAACGCAAGGCTCTCAACGTCGTCGGTGATAATGACGTGCAGTAGGTATCGGATAGGAATCGGAATCGGAAAGCAACAACAGCTGGTTGAGGAGAGCGAAAGACTGGACAAAGGGGATTCTAGGGGCGCGGAAATCGTGGAAAGAATTATTTCGATAAATTGGACGGTGACAGTGTTCGGACCGGTGCTATAGACACTGGTGTCCACTGTCCACGGCATCGGCAGGCTGGACACGCTAACGCAAGGGGGGATCCGCTTTGCTTAATGAGTGACAGACGGACTCTGCCTGCTATCCGCTCGCTCTTTCTTTCGTCAAAGCAGAACCTGAAGCAATGCACTTCGTGTCCCGCCTTAACAAAGCCAGGGTGAAATTGTATGCCGTGCTGATAACGCCTTTTCAAGGATTAGCGCGACGTCGATCGTCCGGGGCCTCCGAGCACGGTCCACAAAGCGGGCACGGTGGGCTGTTGACATCATATTTTGGCATGTGCAAAGACAGGGGCTCGAGGTGTTCCCCTCCATCAGGCGTTTGTCGCAATCATTTTCATCCGATCCAAACTTCCAACGACTTATCGATCCAGACGAACGGACACACCCACACCAAGACATTACATCGCCATGGCTACCGCCGACAGGCTCGAGAGGCGGCAGTCCTTCGACGTTGTAGCTGAACAAGTAAAACGAAAGTTCGACATTTCCCACTTCGACCTCAATGCCGTCATCAGAGGTGTCCAGTTGACGCTTGTTGGTGGTATGTTATAATTCCGCCTCTTTCTCTACTCGTCAGGACTAGAATTGCTTGCTGACATTTTGTGCCTCCATAGCCCAACGGGCGCTGCAGAATCCTGGTATCTTCACCTCACGACACTATAGACAAGCCGCCATTGCTGTAGCTGCTGGCATTCTCATCCGCTTGCTCATATCAATACCTGTATGAAGTTCTTCTTCCTCGCCCCGTCTCCCGTGCATATGGTTGCCCATTCTGACACTTCTTAGATCATCGGCATCAGGGTCCTACTCTGGTTCCTGTCCTTTGGGATCGATCTAAGCAATGCTACCTGGGACGACAAGTTGGTGGGCGGGCTTGGCTTCGTTGAAGAACATGTTCTTCAAGCCCCCCTGTTCATGATGAGTCTGATGCGATATGTCACTCCGACGTTGGATGATCTGTATGTTCCCATATGGCGTACCTCGACTCTCAAGAACTAACCAGTGACTCCATAGATTCATGGACTCGATCAGATGGGTTGATACAACCTATGTCAACAAGCATAAGCACGACGAGGACCCCAGCAAGCTTCGACCCATGTACTATCCCAACCTGCGCCAGTACTCGGTCAGAGACGGGACCACGAACTCGACAAGCACCGCCGAGAATATCTCCATGTTTATCTACCGGTTCGCCAGGAAAGGTGCCATCTCGCTCGCCGTCTTTGCGGCCTCATACCTGCCTTATGTTGGCCGTTTCGTCCTTCCGGCAGCCAGTTTTTGGACATTCAACAAGGCAGTTGGTCTTGGCCCCGCCTCCGTCATCTTCGGCACCGGCGTCCTCCTGCCCAGGAGGTACCTCGTTATTTTCCTGCAGAGCTACTTTGCCTCGAGGAGTCTTGTGAGGGAGCTGTTGGAGCCGTATTTTGCCAGAATTCGGTTCACCAGTGAGCAAAAGAGAACGTGGTTCCGCAGCCGTGAGGGTCTCCTGTTTGGGTTCGGTATTGGATTCTACATCCTCCTCCGTGTTCCCCTTCTTGGAGTCTTGATCTACGGTATTGCTGAAGCTGTGAATTATCCCTCCTCAAGCCCTGTTATGTATAGTGCTAACCCAAAGATACAGAGCGCCGCCTATCTGATTACCAAGGTATCCGACCCGCCTCCGCCGCCATCAGAGTCCAGCGGGTTCGCCGAGAGCCAACTTGAATGGAGGAACAAGCAGAAGTTCCTCAGCCTGTCGTTGGCAAACATGGACAGCATCCATGATAAACCGCCTCCGTATTCGGTACATGACCCGAACCCTAAGACGGAACTCTGATTTATAGCTTGGCGACTTAACCAGGACCTACCTAACACCGTTAGTCTAAGTCAGCATATGAAACTACAAAAGCGACTCCCAATCCTATATAACTCAACATAACTCAAATTGTATCGTTACACAGATCAGTGTACCTTCTTGACATGTTGAGAGTGCATGTAGTCAAATTTCGCCAAGTAACGATGTAGGCAAGAGTAGACACATTCCATGTAGGCCCATATAAGGGGATACTATGACCAAAGGGATACACTCATACATTCATGGATCCATAGATAGACCCAGATTATTACAACTCCCGCAGTATTTGAAGGTCCCGAATGTCTCTATCCGGATGCTTCTCCCCTATCTTATCGCAAGTCTCCGTCTAGGTATAGTAGACTAGTTCCTGACTAGGCATTGGAACGGGAGTAGCTCGGCTTGGATTGAGGGGCATGCGGGGCACTCTCCAAGGACGGGAACAACGCGGGTTTTATTCGGGATGTGATAAGGTTGTCAACATCTACTTACCTCCAATGGTGACGCCAATCTCCCATTATGATTTGGTAATTGCGAGCATACTGGTTCCGTTGATCAGCGTTTCAATCAGGAACTATCGAAACTGTCCCCTTGAGATATCTGGAAGCCAAGTACCGCACCGATATCGCTGACATACCCCCAAGATGCGGGGTATCAACGACTTCGACCATGGCCTCCCGAACCATGACAGATGATAGACAGGTAGTCATGCTCGAGAAGAGGTACAAGATTGCAGATATAAATACGACGTCCTCTCTGCTTGAAAAGAGTTTCTCCTTTGTTAACAAACCGATATTCTGACCCTAGACGTCATCTGCCAAATCGGGGTTTGCGACCTGTTCCTTCTTGCCAGACACTCACCAGTCACTACACTTACCTACCAACTTGCTGATAATCGGAGTTGCGACTAAGCTTTCTCATCAAACAAAAGCCGAACTAAGAAACAACAAGAACCAGAAGACAAGACAAAATGGGCAAAACCGAGATCCGAACCGTCTGCAAGGTCGACTTCGACAAGCCCGCCTCCGAACAGCCTCAACTCCATGTTAGTAACGTCATCTCTTTTCAACAAACATTAACCCCCATTTCAACAACCAAAACTGACAAGACCGTTCTACCCTTCTCAACCCTTACAGAACAGATGGCACCCGGACATTCCCTTCGCCGGCACCATCGCGGACGGTGAGACCGTCAAGATCGAGTGCGTCGACTGGACGGGCGGGCAGATCGGCAACAACGATTCGGCAGACGACATGAGGAACGTCGACTTGACCAAGATCCATTACCTGTCCGGCCCCTTTGAGGTCGAGGGCGCTCAGCCGGGCGACTTGTTGCTGGTGGAGATCATGGATGTGCAGCCCTTTCAGGATAGGCCGTGGGGGTTTACGGGGATTTTTGATAAGAGCAATGGGGTATGTCTTTTTTTTCTATTGGTGTTGAAGAAAGTGAAAGTTGCTGACTTGGACCTCTTAAAAAAACACAGGGTGGTTTCCTAGACGAAATCTACCCCTCAGCCGCCAAAGCCATCTGGGACTTCGAAGGCATCTACGCCACCTCGCGCCACATCCCCGGCGTCAAGTTCGCCGGCCTGATCCACCCGGGCATCATCGGTTGCGCGCCCTCGGCCGAGGTGCTGGCCACGTGGAACAAGCGCGAGGGCGAGCTGGTGGCTGCTAACAAGCTTGCCGACCGCGAGGTGGCTCATCTGCCGCAGCCCATCAACGTGCACGCCGGCGCGGCCAGCAACGAAATTGCGGAGAAGGTCGGCCAGGAGGGCGCGAGAACGGTCCCCGGAAGGCCGGAGCATGGAGGGAACTGCGATATCAAGAACCTGAGCAGGGGCTCCAAGGTTTACCTGCCCGTCCATGTGCCGGGAGCTAAGTTCAGTGTGGGTGATTTGCACTTTTCGCAGGGCGATGGCGAGATTTCCTTCTGCGGCGCTATCGAGATGGCTGGTGTGATTACTATCAACTTCAAGGTGATCAAGAACGGGGTGGAGGGGATGGGGCTCAAGAGCCCCATTTACATTCCTGGTCCTGTTGAGCCTAGCTTTGGACCGGGGAGGTATATCTACTTTGAAGGGTTCTCGGTTGATGAGCATGGGAAGCAGCGTACGTTTTTTTTTCCCTTTACTTTCCCTTTAACCAGAGCTGACATTCGATGATTTTCACAGATTACATGGACGTAACAGTCGCCTACCGGCAAACCGTCCTGCGCTGCATCGAGTACCTCCGCCGCTTTGGGTATTCGGACTACCAGATCTACCTGCTGCTCTCGTGCGCGCCCGTCCAGGGCCACGTGGCCGGCATCGTGGACGTGCCCAATGCCTGCACCACGCTCGGTCTGCCGATGGATATCTTTGACTTTGACATCTCGCCGGCGGCGGCGCTCAAGGCCGGGGAGACTAAGAGAGATCTGGGTAGCTGTGCGTTCGAGACGGGCGTCACGGAGGGGAAGGTCACAAAGGGAGGGAAGAATAGTCAGATTAGCTTTGGTGGTGGGTTGACTTATAAGGAGTAGGTAGGGCTGTACTAGTATGGGAACAGTGTGGGCTGTAGGATAGGGTAGGAAGGAAGCAAATATGATTTGATCTGTAGCGAGTTTTCGAAACGACTGTTTCCTAGTCTCATTTACTCAGCCACCTACGCATAGCCCTTGCGTTTCTCTTTATACCTGCGGGTCTAAATAGTTATAATATCCCTACTATACTCACCCACCTATTAATCCTAATATCATACCATTTAGACCCACAAAATAAAGAGACGCGGCTATATTATGGTCTGAGCCTAATATAGACAGAAGGGTCTATTGTACGTAAACTAGTCATATATCCCCAATTTATCCTATGTAATTATACGCCTTATACGTACGCCCTATACGTATATCCGATACTATATATTTATTAATCTCATTATCTCCTCCCTCTTCTCCCGCTCTTCCTAATATTAATAATATACTTACGTCCTACTAATTATATTAGGCAACTTAATTAATTTCTACGCTTATATCTCCTCTACCTATATTCTAATTATTATATATTGACCCTTATTAGGAATCTTCTAACGAATCTTGTAATAAACCCTTTATATTTAGGGTAGATACTTTAGGTATAGAGCCCCTTTTTAAGGCCTCTAGAATAGACACCTTTTGGGTAGATATTTCGAATAACGATTCCGATATTTTAAATCCTATTTAAAAATTATTCGAACGTATTAATACTTTTATTAAAGATCGTTATCGGACGAATTTATAATAATACTTAATTTACCTTTATATTTATCGAGGGATTATAATATCCTAATAATATAGTAAACGTTTCAGTACGTTTAATAGTGCCTTTAAGGAATTTATTATATATAAAGTATTTTCGGATATTAACGTTTATTTATACTTCGAATAAGATAATACTAACCTTCTTTCTAACGAACCTACTACTTAATTTCGAATAGATGAATAAATAATAGGAAAATAGAAATTACTCTAAATATATTTCTAAACTTCCTTTTATATAGAATTTAAATTACTTTTATAGGAACTAGAAGTAATAAGGGCATTTATAATATTCCCTACTAATAAATTCGCTAATAATACTCCTATTATTAAAGACGTCTTTAATATTATATATATTCGCTTTCGTTTTCGTTCCGTATATAGAACCCTAATAAAAGTTGCCCCCAATTAATAAAATTATTTACTACGCTATATATATAATAACGCGCCTACTAGGGCTTTTATAAATTAAAGGATAATATTTAGAAAAAAAGGGAGATCTATAATCGCGTAACTATAATAGAGTTTATTATTATGAATTCCTACGTACCTTAAATAAATATATTTATCCTAAAGCTATTTAATATTTATTTTAAGAATAACTTTATATAATTACGTATATATAATATACTAACCCGGTTTAATATAGTTTCTTCCTATAAGGTTATTTTATAAATTATTAACCATTTTATTAATATTTCTACGGTACGTAGCCCGATATTTAAATCTTATAGGGGTAGACCTCCTCCCTCTTATAGAATTTAAATATCCCTACCTCCGCTATTTTCTTATATATTAATACTATTATAGGCAAATTTTAAACTCGTTAATTATAATCCGAATATAATCATTATCTATAATAATTTCAATTTTATAAATCATATACAAAGTTTTAATATCAATCGGAAAGGTATTATATAGAATTTTACTATTTATTTCCTTATTAGTAGTCCTAATATTTACGGTCTGTTTATACTATTTTAATAACGCTTATATATTAAGTTCGAATGAGAATAGCTTTTTAATTACTTAAGTATTACGGCGCCGTCCTTTAATAATACGGCCTATTATTTTACTAAAGGTCAATTAATTACTATATTCGGGCGGAAATTAAAATAGTCTATCCGTCTTTTCCCGGTCGTTAAGCGACCGAAAACCGTTAAAAATTATATTCTACAAACCCTAGCAACTCTAAAAGATGAGGGTAAAATTACTAGCGTTTATTAATTTTATAATAAGTTTTTTCCTTAATATTCTCGGACTTAGTAAGGATAATTTCGGCGACCGATTTATCTTCGTTTATAGCGATTAAAAAATGACGTTTTTTATTTACTATATTATTTTCGACTAATTAAAAGCTAATTACGTATATAATCGTAAATAGTAAATTCTTATTATATTTATATTTTTTTTATATCCTTATAAATTACGTTAATATAATATTTCGCATTTTCTAGCCTCTTATAGTATAGGATATTTAGGGCTTTAAAAGGGATAAGAGAGTAAAATAGTACGATATTAAATTTTATAACGGTCGGTATTTATTAAAAAATATATTCGCCTCTAGAATTTTAGCCTTCTTTATTACTAGGCTCGTCAACTATAATTATATATTAGAATTTAATATTATTAAATCTTCTATATAACGGGGTATAGAAAGCGTTAAGGAGATTTTTATTAATTAATAGTTTTCTTTAATTAACGATAAAGTCTTTTCGGCAATTATGTAAAATAAGTATAAAATACCTTCGGGGGCGTTTAATATTAATTATTATAATATATATTATTATTTATAAGTTGTTCGTATTTTTATAATTTTTGACGAAATTGTTTCATTAGGGGATTATAATATTTTACGAAAAATAATAAATTTCCTTCCTATTTTGTTTTGTAGTAGTAAATTTAGTAATTATAGATTTGAAATTTTCTACTTAATATAGCTACTTCGTTTTAAAATTATAAATGAATTGTTCGCTAATATTATTTTATAATTTAATATAGTATGGTATTTTACATCTAGTAATTAATAGAAAGCGAATAATATAGCCTTTAAATATATTAATGCATCCTTTATATTCGATATTATATAAAATAAGAATTCAATTTATAATATTAAAATTATATTCGTTCGGCTTTTTACTATTAATTTATATATTATAATTATCCGGAAGGTTATTAAGAACGGTATAAGAATTTATTATATTAGTAAATATATAAATCTATTTACGGATAAGGACGTTATTAATTACGAATATATAATATATTAAAACGGTTGGGGGCGGTAAAATATTGTAGAGTTTCGGTCGTTTAATAATTCGGGATATGAATGGCGACATTTACCGTCCTAGAGGCGGTAGATATCTTGGGGTTGATAGTACGGGGAGAAAGAGAGCGGTGATATACGTGAATCGGAAGTGGGACGTTAAGGACCTGGACTTTCAGGCGGGAGATGACTGGGCGTCGGTAACGTTCAAGAACTTAGGGGAACCTATTACTGTCTACTCGATCTACTCACCTATCCTCGTAAATGGTACACCGGAGCACCAATGGGGATCGCCAATCCTTAGCCTAGGGTTGAAGGATAGGCGCCCCCCGGGGGGACACCACGTCGTCGTCGGGGACTTCAACCTCCATCACCCCTCATGGGATATGGAGGATCGAACGAGCCCGGGCAGCCACCGCCTATTAACATGGGCACGACGCTGGGGCCTCCGGCGGGTTACCCCCTACGGAGAACCGACGAGGCCTGGGAATACGACTAGAGGAGAGAGGGATAGCACCATCGACCATGCCTGGGTGTCGCGGGATGTCTACGCTGAGTTTTGGGGGGACTCCCGGTGTGAGCAAACTGGCTCGGACCACTGCCCCCAAGAAGTCTGGGTCCAGATTGGAAACGAAGGAAGGAAAGCAGAAACGGAAGAGGGATATAGTTGGAGCTTAATGGACAGTGCTCGAGTGTTGGAAGAGGCTGAGAGGCAGATCACGATCCCGGAACGGATCGAAAAAGAGGAAGACGTCGGACCGGCGTTCGACAAATTGATGGAGCAGCTTAAAGAAATTGCTGAAGTCCTCGTCCCTCACCGGAAGAAGAGCCGGGGTCGAATGGCGGATTGGTGGAACTTGGAGATTAAAAGGGCGACTAAAGACGTGCGACAGAAGTGGTGGGCTTGGAAGGCGGAGCGGACGCCGCTCCGGTGGACAGAGTTTGAAACGGCGAAATTACTACAGCGGCAACTCATTAAGAAGGCACAAACGAAACGATGGCGCGGCCTTGTCGCGGAAGCATCGATGGATTCTCGGAAGCTGTGGGCACTAGAGCGGTGGGCACGGCTGCGAAGCCACTGCCCGGCCGATCCGCCCAAACTCCCTGCCCTTAAAAGAGACGAAAATGGCGAAGAAGTTAGCGACCACCTGGGCAAAGCAGACATCCTCGCCGAGCGCTTCTTCCCAGCGGTCGAAGTGCCCACCGACCACCTACCCGACTGGACTTCAGAGCCACCAGACGACGATCGACCACAAGTCGACATCTCAGAGCTAGTCACAGCAGAAGATATCCACAGCGTCCTCTCTACGGTAGCGCCGAACAAGGCGCCAGGCGACGACTGGCTCTCAAACAAGTTCCTGAAGGCATGTGGGGAACCCTTTAAGGAAGCGATGGCAGTCCTGGCGACGGCCAGCTTCCGCTTCGGGTACTTCCCACAAAGGTTTAAGAACGCACGGGTAGTTGTCCTAAAAAAGCCCGGTAAATCAGCCGACCAGCAGCGACTGGCCGGGGCATGGCGACCGATATCACTACTAAGTAGTGTGGGGAAGATCCTAGAGGCGTCGATCGCTAAGCGGTTGATGTCGGCAGCAGAGAACTTCGCCCTCCTCCCGGAGGGCCAAATGGGCAATAGACCAGGGCGTTCGACAGAGTTCGCTATCCGCGTCGTTACCGATGCGGTCCACACAGCGTGGAAACTCCAGGCCACAGCATCACTAATGCTCCTCGACCTCAAAGGCGCGTTCGATAGAGTCAACCACCGATGGCTGCTCCATACCTTATGGGAAATGCGTCTTCCGCGGTGGCTACTATGGTGGATCTATAGCTTCCTTTCCTCGAGGAAGGGTTCACTGTTTTTCGACGATGAGTTATCACCACCGTACGACATTACGTCGGGGGTGCCACAAGGATCCCCCCTCTCACTCATCCTTTTCCTCCTTTTCATTACGCCGCTCTACACCAAGCTAAAAACGATCCCGAACGCAATTACCGTCGGGTTTGCCGATGACACTAATATCCTGGCGGTAGCAAAGACGACTGAGGAGAACTGCAGAACTCTCCAAGCTGCTTGGGAAGTCTGTACCGAATGGGCAAGGGAGCGAGGGATGGAA